CCCCCCCCCCCAAAAAAAAAAAGTTGCTGGTGGCGTTCGTGGGATTTCAAATGGATAAAAACAGAAAAGAGCAGCGAAACATCTAAAGAACTTTTTTCAACAGCTAAAGATCATAGAAGAATAATTGAGAAATGTCCTTTCCTTTATTCAATTTTTCCTTTGATCGATCCTCGTTTTCGCGGCAAGTTGAAAGTTGCGAACAGACGGACAACTATTGAAACTTCGGAATCCTGCTTCTCAAAATATTTTAATAACTTTTAGTAACGATGCACTTGCAATGCTCATCATTATCATTAAATGTTAGGATTCGATAAGTTCAACAAAAACATGCATTTACGTACATTTCGATCGTACATAAAGAACATGATCTTAAACTATTCATTACTCACCAGCAAATGTATTTGGTGCATTTCCAATTTGCTGCAGTGTGACAGTATAAAAAGAATATTTGCACTCAGTCATTTAATTTCTTTATTCAACTGCAGTAACCTTGCGTATTGTTTTCGGTACAAATACAGGACACAAGTCCCGGATGAGAGACATTGCGCATGTTGGCGATACGACTGTGAAAACAGCTGTCAGCGAGGTCATAGTCCTCCGATTTCCAGATCGATGACAATGGTTTCAAAATGATTTTCGTAAAAATATATCACATAGAGTTGGAAATGTATTAACTAGCGAAGTACTATTAATGAATATTTCACAGCAATCATGACTGTCGTTATCTCTTTCGATATGACGTAAATTTGTAGGGGTATGCATCATAATCTCAAGAAATTCAAAATAGCCGAAAAATCATACTTTCTTAAAAAGAACGCCAATAGGAGAAATATTTTGTATTAATGCTTTCTATTAGAAAATTAAGGAGAAAACATCCAATGTCATTTGAAGGTTACCTGAATTCTTCAAATCTCTTGGGGTTGTTTTTCATGAGCTGATTAATATTTATCTGGTTTCCATTTTCTTGAAAATATTTCAACAGGTTTTGGTAAGTAGGTTCACTAGTAAGCCGAGGTAGCTTGAAGTCATCTTGGGCCGACATCGTAACGTGCGATCGGTCACCCTCAATCACCAACAGCACTGAGCACACAGGCCCTGCGCGATTCAGTTCACAGCACAACGCGAACGCTGCCGGCGAACTCGGCAAACCACTCTTGTCGGCTGCAGCTGACGCAAAGATTCTGATGTCTCGCAATACCCGTGCTGCTATCTGTGAGTGGAGAACGAATCTTATTCATTCATTTGTCATTCAATTGTTCACTGTCAGCTGTACTAGTACACATACAAAGAAAAGTTTGTGCGCTTAGCTGATTCCGGTTATTGAAATGTAGTATAGTTATTAAAGGTTGTTAAGTGAATATTGTCAATTAGCTTGTGTTGTGGCACGTGTTATGAAATGTCTGTTCTTGGAGGAATGGGATCAAGTCAAGGTGAGAAAGTCTGCAGACTATGAGTCATCTGGGTATTTCACAAAAATCTGACATCTCTTTTAAATTAAATATTTGCATTACTGTAGATTTGTTTTCTAATTTCACAAGTTCATTTTCTGTTTATGTACTTGCTATACTTCAGACTCCAGCAGACCGGAGTTGTTGGAAGAAGTTAAGCTCTTCCGCAATGCCCGTGAGAGAGAAAAGTGAGTTGATGTTTAGTTTTTGAAAATAATGCAGTATTATTTTATCAGTTTTATAATTTGGTTTGTGAGTGGTATTATATAGAATTACAGATATATTTTTATCGGATACTGTCATTTTAAAAATTAAGTTTGTCGTAGATTATTCCATTATCATATGTATTGATATTTGGAAGACTCAATATTTTATATTAGTATGAAGTCAGAATATAGAAATTAAATAAAATGTGTCTACAATCTCTGTTAAGTGGATAATTTATTATAATTGACATTACATTCTAAAGTTCTGTGTCAAATTGTACATTTAAAGGCTGCAAAGTGTGTGAACTGTTTTCTTGTTTTTATATATTTTATATTTGTTTAATGTTTTGCAGACATGATAATATGGCCGATCTGTATGCGGTGGTCAATACTTTACAACACCTAGAGAAAGCATATATTCGTGATTGTGTTACTCCCAAGGAGTACACTGCTGCTTGTTCAAAATTACTTGTGCAGTATAAGGCTGCTTTCAGACAAGTGCAAGGAGGAGACTTCCCGACTATTGAAGCATTTGTTAAGAAATTCAGAGTGAGTGTTAAATTTTTATTTAAATGTATAAACTTTAATATTGTTCAAAACAATGATGTAACAATGTGTTACTTAAATTTTATAGAATGATTTTAAAAGTAGTGTTTACAGCTCTCCAAGTTAACATCTGTACTTCGATTTAGTATTGTTAATCCATTTTATTTCAAAAACTTTCTAAATGGAATAAAGAGATGTTAGGTCACATTGTAAATTCTTGATACTTTGAAAATGAAAAGTAGTTTAGGCACCAACAATATAATACATAGCTTTTTCTTGTCATTAATGTAAAAGCTCTCCAGGTTTATAATTAACCCAACTGATGTTGGTTTTACTTTTTTAAATTGATATGCCTTTTTTATTTGATCTTGTGTTCTTGGATGTTACTTTTAATCACTAGCTTTATTCATTACTTTCGTTACAGTCCTTTTTGAAATAAGTATTTTAAGAGAACTTATTACGATATGAGATTAAATAATTATACGTAAAGGTTGTGAGGCTGGTTGTAATATACCACAATTTCCAATTAAATTTGGCTCATCTTGTGCAAGGTGACAGGCTGATGTTGATTGAGTATGAGGCTATAGACTATTAAAACACCATGCTATAATAATTCATATTATGAAACCAATTATAGATTTTAATTGAGGGCTATAAATTATTTGAACATGTGTGTTCTGATAACACTTGCTATGAAACTGAGATCAGTTTGATAATATTGAACTTTTAGATCATTAAAGGGAATACAAATACTTATGTTTTTATTTTCATGATTAAATATGGAAGATGTATACTAGGAATATAAAAGTTCCTTATTTCCTTTTCAAGTCAGTCCTTCAGGATTCTCTTAGTTATTTTATCCACTTTGAATATTTGAAGTCAAACATTATGAAACTTGAGATCAGTTCCATAATAAGAATTATTAGAAAACAAGGGTTCTAATTGTCCTTGACCCTTTATGAATAAATATAAATGGTTTCATAATGAGTATAATCCCTGCCCTTGTACTCACTGAAAGATGACTAACATCAGTCAGTCATCTTTCAGAGGATAAACTGTAAAACATAAATTAATTACCGTACATTGGAATTTTTAGGAAGAGGATAAAACATTGCATGATACTTGTATTATAACATCTTATTACAATAGTAGATTGGCTATTAAACTAGGTAATGAAGTATTATCAACAGCAACATGGTAATGTTTGATTAGCACACAAGAATGCTGTAAGAAGTTTCATTATAGCTCTCTGATAAAGAAGATTTATCATAGCACTACTTTAATGAAACTAATACCTTCAAAAGAACACACCTTTTTGAAATTAAAACAAAGGCATTTGAAACAACAAAGGAGGAATGTTACTCTCTTTACAAAGTTTATCTGAATACTCATAGAAATAAATATCAAATAAATTAAGTAATTATTGTAGTTAAAAGCTTGAATGTTGCATGTCTGGTATAACACCATAGAGAAATACTTTATTACTTATGCACCAAAAGGCATTACCCAGGCAGTGAAAATGCAATTCTCATTTCATTCAAGGATAAGGTCAAATTGGTTTTGCTAATTACTATTTAAATATAATCATGTACAGTTTCAATTATGGTCATTGTCGTGTATTATAATTGTTACATTTGTGGAACACTGTTTCCTACATTGTTTTCTTAAACCTTAATATTTATATATTCATCTGTGTTGATTCTCATATTTTATTTTAATTATTAGGTATCCAGTGTCACGTGTAGTATTTACATCAACTCGTTTATTTTCAAAGATCTGTCATCAACAAAAGATAGTTGAAATTGACTGCGTAATAGATTTTAGGGTCGTATCATAAAGAAAGGATAGTGTTCTATGGTCTTATCCCTTATCGTACCGAGTCGACTCCGACGGGGCGAGGTAGGTGAACCAAGCGAGGAACGAGTGACGGGAGCGAGGGCATTCTGTTAACGTGCCCCACCTGCACTGCGCGTCAAGGCCTACCGCGAAATTTAAATATAGAAATAAGTTTCTAAAGAGATGCTTATTTGTATTTGCAATTGTTCATGGTGACTTGCAGAGGAAAGAGTAGATTTGTTGCAGCAAGTGTGGTTGTGGAAGTGCAGGCCAGTACAATTCTCTTCCCTTTAAACGAAATCCTGAAGGTAAGAGGGGTTCATTAAATGTGAGCGCCGGAGCGAGAGCGCGACAGTTAGAAGCCCATCGCAATCTCAGCTCGTTGGATCCGTCAAAGACTTGGCCTACTAGGTGTCGAAATGCGTTGGTTAAAGTTGCAAACTATTGAAAAACACATTTGACAGGGAAAAAAATAATTGTCATTTACGCTGTTATTTCGCGTGCGCGCGCGCGTGTGTGTGTTGACGTTCATGTTCTTGTGGAAATAAACAGATTTCTTCACGTTCGTTACGATAAGGTATATGAATTAGTTTTATTCAAATTGATTTACTGAATCATTCTGCACATTTGTAAAAGTTAAGAATCACGTTATTGAGAAATCGTAGCATTATTGTAATTGTCCTAGACAATTTTCTTGCATTGATGTAGAACATTTTGAGATTCTTCATGAAGAATTCTTTGCCCTTAAGCATGATCTTTTAGATCCAAATGTTGAAATTTCTCCCTTTCAAAACCAGATTATTTTCTACAAGTAAATAAATAAATTACTTCACTTACAGGAAATAGTTTAGTATTTACTAATTTTTGTGTGTGGTTACTCTGCAGTTGGATTGCCCTGCTGCTCTGGAAAGAATAAAGGAAGATAGACCTATTACCATCAAAGATGATAAAGGAAACACCAGCAAATGCATTGCAGATATTGTTTCTGTAAGTTTCTTTTGTTGAATTTTCATTCAAAATGCTTGATGTATTAAGTATAGGATGCGTCACAATAAAAGTAGAGTGTGCTTTACATGCATCAAATGGAAAGTACTTATGAGTGTGAAGGTTTTCTTTTGAGATGTAGGGAAAGAATCTTTTAACAACTCTGTAGCCATGACATCTTGGCTATTAAAGAGGTAATTGGCACCCAATATCTCAGGAGTTGGGAATTTCTTTTTCTAACAGCAAAGAGTTTGGATGATCCAGGACTTAGTTAACGTTTCATTGGAGGTATAAATTTGAGGTGATGGTCTGGAACACTGAAGGAGTGAGAATACAACTTTTTTAATTTTGCCCCTTAGTCTCTGTCATAATTGTGCTCAAAGAATCTCATCTGTCATTGATGCCAAACATGTGTGAACAGTGGAAGTTTTTTGTTTTTTTCCTACATTCAGCTGTAGGTTCTATATGGTTGGGCTACACTTTGAATTTGGGGTTCTAATGTCAGCCACTCCAATTTGCTGTAGAGGAAATAGGTAGTGGTTTGTTTTCTCATGGACCTCCTCTTTCCTCCATTTCTCATTCTCCTACCCCATTTTCCAGCACCACATTATCTATCATCATCCTCTGTGCGCATCCCAAACCAGGATGAGCTCACCATGGCTATTGTGTCACTGTGTTGTATCATTCTCATTGTAAGTATTAGGGATCAGAAACCATTTTTGTAAAAGAATGTTAATCCTAGACAGTTTTCTAAAGTGGTCAAGGAGTATCTGTTCCAGAAAAACAAATTTGTTATGGTGGGTGGAAATGCATAGTTCCTCAGCATAGAAAAATATTTGGGAGGTGGTGTCAAGCCTATTAGCTATGTAGAGATTGATGAGGAAGAGAGCTAGTACAGATCATTGGAGCAGTCCATATTGGATCCTTTTCAGTGAAGTCCTGATATTTCTTGGGAAATAGAGCATGCAATACTGTGAGAGCATGTTGTTGACCAGGCTGACCATGTTTCTGCAAATGAGTGCTCAGAAGTTGGGATCAGCAGTCTCTCCTTACTGTATCAAAAGCAGCTGTGAGATCAATAAACACAGCACCTATTATTTTGAGTATTTTTTATCAAATCCAGCTTCTATGAAATTGGCGAGGGGCAGAACATGGTCCTCACAGCTTCAAAGGTATGATTCCAGCTTGATCGTTGAGAATAATTTCAAAAATCTTGGGGCTAATTCTATTGTAGATAAGTTGTCCTAGTGGTTTGTAGTTGGTTTTTGGGAGGAGAATGGGTCTATAGTTCTCTGGCTTATTTGTAAGGCTTTCTTGGTTTCAGAATGGCTTTGATTTTAGATGGTTTGAACACCTTCTGTAAATGAAATATTTTCCAGAGAATATTGGCTAGCCAGCTTTTGGAGTTGCATTTGCAATGAATTAAAAATTCTGAGTGTATGATGTCAAAGGCAGGAGATTTCCTGCTTCCATGACGGCAAGTACTACAGACAGTTCATCTAATGTACATGGTCAGGAAAGTTTATGATTTTCTGTGCATTGATTTTTCAGAGCTGTTAGAACTTTTCTAATGGCTTTATTGTGAGTTTTGTCTTGCTTAATCTATGCATTGAGATATTTGATTGGGAGGTACTGGTTGGGATGTCTGAGGGTGGTTTTTGTTACCATCTAGCTTTTTAAGGAGGCCCCATCTTTTCTGTTAGAGTGTTGGAAATTTAAGTTTTCAATGGTTTTGGTCCACCTAATCTTCCTAGATATGTTGAAGCTCTGTATTTTGTTATCTGCCACTTTTGTGCTACAACTCTGCAGAAAGTCTTTATAGCTGCATTGCTGTTCTGGTTCCAACATAGTGTGAATGTTTCGAAGACTACTCGTGGTATGTGTTTTTTAGAGGTGGAGATAACCATTTTGGCAAACCTGCAATATTTCTCTGGTAGAGGAGGTATTCATGATGTTCTTATCTAAGTTGGAGGAGAAGGTCACCCAATCAGTTTACGTGAAATTCCATTGAAGGTCAGGCAGACTAATTGACAATTATATATAATCCTATTCCCAGGAAGATGAGATGGTGTTAACTATGCAAAAAATAATAAAGTACTTGATTGGTTATGAGTAGGAGTTCACCACTATAATCACTGAAAGCGAGCTTTACATGAGATTCCCATAGTGAGTTTTGGACATATGTTGTAGTACCATATGAACCTTGGAATGTTGAGTCAACTTTTTCATAGCCAGGAATAGATCCACGTGATCTCATTTGTGCTTCGCCTTCAATATGGATTTCTGGGAGTGCTGCAAAATCAACTTTTTGGGTGCGGAACACTTAAGCTAATCCTTAATGTTTAGCTTTGCTGACTCCTTCAGTATTGAAGTGGAAGTCTTAGAGAATGTTTCCTAGAGGCTTGAGAAGAACAAATTGAGATTTTGAGTAATAGTAATAGATGTCTGAGTAAGACTTATGATCTGAAGGCCCTAAATTCAGTTAAATATTTGAATTACCAAAGTTCAGAAGAACAGTGTGAAAATTAATTGCTGTCAATATAAATTACTTACGGAATCCTCAGAGTAAATTTTCTAAAACTCAGGCAGATTTATCTCTAAACCTATGGAATATTGATAACTAAGACACCCTAGCAGAATTAGTTGTGTGGCCTTCCTAAAGATGGACATCAGTGACAGTCTGATTTCAAGATAATTTTAAGCTGTTTTGAAGAATTGTGGAAATCAGAATTTAAAAAATTAATGATTAGTGGTCTTACTGTAAAATATGTAGAAATTGTTAATAATAACTTATGTTTTGGGTCACAGTATTTTACGCTTATCTATGAGTGTTTCTCGGAGATTGTATTTGGAAAGAAAACAGGAGGGGGGATTAAATGGAGGAAGAAAACATACAAATTTTGTATAAAAGATGTTTTTAGACTAAATTCTTTTAGTTTTTCTTTGAATAACTTGGTACTCATTTTTTCTTCAGGCGTTTATATAATAATTTTTCAAAACATTGTCTGTTTCAGCTTTTTATAACAATTATGGACAAGTTACGACTAGAAATTCGTGCCATGGATGAGCTACAGCCTGATCTGAGAGATCTAATGGATACAATGACTCGTTTAAGTTTAATTCCAGCTGACTTTGAGGGAAAGCAGAAGGTCAGTGAATGGCTCTCTCGCCTCTCAAACATGCAGGCATCAGATGAGTTATCTGACACACAGGCTCGTCAACTTCTTTTTGATTTGGAAACATCATATAATGCCTTTAACAGACTGCTTCATCATTCATAACCATTAAAAATTGCCAAAATCTTGGCTTTGGTGTGTGTGCCTGGAAAAAAGGGGAAATTGATGTTCCTTCTCATCTTTGGCACTGCATGTAAAATTGAATTGCGTGACCTGTTTGGTGTGTCTGTGCAACTGTCTCTGAACCAGTTGTGATATTGTTATTAAAATGCCTTTCCTGATTATTACATAGATGTAAGGTTTCAGCCTACATCCTTGGTTGTAGTTTTATTGCATATAGTACACTTATAATGGAAATATTAATATATTATATTTTGAAGAAAATGTCACGTTTATACTTATAGAATCCTGTATTGTAACCAAAACAAGCATAGTTTTATGAATATAAACTTTTTAACTATTCTTTTGTTTCTTCTCTACAGTAAAACATCACTATTGGCAAAATCCCTTAGCCGTTTTCTAACCATGCATTGTTTAACAGATATTTCAGATTGATGAAAATCAAATTCTAATTTTGTGTGTATTGTGAATATTGTATCTTTCTGTAAAAGACACTTACCTGGAAGTTCAACAATTTCTGACCAAAAGGAAATTATGTGGATAAGAGAACTCGTGTAAAGTTTCTTGCCTTGATGTGAAGTTGACAATGACTGATACTTCTGTAGCATTAAAATTGCTGCTAAGGCGGTTGAATTATGTAATCATATACTAGTTTTTATTGTCTTGTAGAAAGACTGTAAATATATTATTTCATTTTCATGTGTGTTTTTTCATTGTGGGAAGATGGGTGTGTAAATTGGTACTTGATTGTAAATTGATTTGTTGGTTTTAAAAACTGATCATATCATGCTGTTTCAATATATTAGTTGATGTCAGATTATCAGTTGGAAAAACATTTGCTATTATTCTTAGGTCATCAGGCACTGATTGTAACATCAGAGTACAGCTTATTTTTCAGAAACCTTTGGTAAGGAATTTGTTTGAAAACTTGGTATACAAATTTCCTATAAATTTCACTACTTTGTTAATATTTTCTTTTCTTGCACCTCATGTGTCACTATCCTTAATGTAAGGGTAAAATGGATTTAAAATGAAAAATTATTTTCTCACACATGGGATTACTTCAATAATTTGAACTAATTGTGAGAACAGGATATTTCTATGTGGGTGACATATACGCTTTCTCTCAGCAGTGACACACTGTAAACGTAAGCTCCTAAATTCGCACTTGCTATTCTTTGATATGTGTAATAATGTCCCTAGTGATTTGAACAATTACTCACAGTTCAGTATCACTGTAGTTCAGGGGCTCCTGTTGACTCTTGCGTTTCCTGATGTTGATCACCTATTTCAAAAGTATGGAGAATTCTTAATTGCTAATAACTGTTAGCTTAGTGCTTGCAATCTGGAGCATATATGTAGCTTGAGTAATTCTGTGTGAGCCTGTAAAATATGGGTTCTCTCTTCTTCAGGTCGTCATCATTTTCCATTGATAGTAAGTGATGGTGGGTAAATGTAAATGACAATGTATGGTATAATGTAGGTCTACCATTACATTAACAGTTTCTAATTTCACAGTTAATTTCATATGACAAAATATTTTGTTAAAGTACAGCAGCTACAAAGAGAGTCAGTAACACCCAAATATTCTATGAATTCATTAAATAATATTGACATCTTTACAATAATTACAATGAAGACCAATTTGGAGAGATTGTGGAGAATATAATTAATGTACATGTGTTCTTGAGAATTGGCCTGAGGAGCGGGTGTACTACTAATGCATTGCTCTGAGGATTGTGAATCTCTTGGTAATCACAAGAAGCTCAATGAGGCTGATGAAGCCCAGTAGTCCTATAATTGTTATTATAATTTCAACATTTATTAATTTATTTAATTTTTATCACACTGTATTGTTTTCAATTTTACAAGTTAATATGTTTTCAAAATTAATAGTCACAGTATGCCACAGTGTATTATGTCATGTTCTGAGGCACCGTGGGAAAGTGGGCTAGAGCCAATGTGAACAGTCAAGTATTGAAGGCTACAAGTCTTATCTAAATGTGTTGATACAATTGATTGTATGAAACCATATACACAGAAACATGTCAAGAATTTTTTATAGGGGTCCATGATTTTTTAACTTCTTTGTACTGGGTCCTGGATTTTCTATCAGTGACACTGGTTGCCAGCAACAGTTTCAGAAATCTCACATTTTCTCCAGAATTAATAAACTGATATTGATCTTGTGCAAATTTGAAAGGAAGTGCATTTTAGGAGGGCCAGAATTTTTAGGTTTTTTCTTTGTACTTTCTTGTAAATGTATGTGTATACAGAATAATACATGTAGTGTAGAGAAAATTATGTAATTGAATTCAATTGAATTGAATTTGCCTTATTTTACGTAGCGAAACTCGGGCCATCAGGCCCGCTCTCCTTTCTCCAACAACAAGCTACGCTCCTTTCATCAACTAGCAGAGAAAGGAGGTATTTCTTGGGCGAGAAACAGATGATTTAAATTTGTAATGCTCTAGAAAAATCGATTTTGATATTTCTAGAGCATCGAAATACAGGTTTGGGTCTGTGATACAGATAAAAACATTGTTTTCATCAAAACACCTGCTTGTTTGTGAAAATCTAAAGCTAAACTATTTGTAAGGCTTTTGCGAAAATGAGCATTCAGATTGAACTGGTGGGCCTCAGAGCTCTGCGATTTTGAACAGAATTATTGAAATTTTGGGGGTTCTTCAGTACAAGAAGCTCCTGAGGAATTTTGGAAATTTCCTCAAAATCTGTCTGTGAATTTTTTGTACGAAGAGAGTGAAGTGCACTTATCTAGAAGGCATAAGTCAGCAAAATTGCAAAAGTTTAAAATTTTTGGACCTTGTCATGCAACTTTATTATTGTAGATAGAGATTTGTGTCTACAAATGGTATTTGTTGCTCACTATCAATTCTTTAATTAATGTCATGTACAATTTTTTTAAAAAGTTAGAAGTTTTTGCACATTTTTTTGTAAAATATGGGCAAAATTTAAAATATTTTCTTAAAAATGTTTCCAAATTTGTTCTGAAATTTTTTTGTACAAACTAAATGACTGAATAACGTGAACAAATGCCATTTTGGTGTATTCTTTTGATATGAAATACACAAATATAATCTTATTGATTTATCTCTTGGCGTAAACATTTTCATTACAGGCAATTTTTGTATATTATTGAATTTGTGAGTTCAAGAGCATCAAATTATTTCTTATGAAGTTTCTTGAAAACTCAAAAGTTTTCTCTAAAAATGACCTAAAAAATTGTACCATTTTTGGAAATGAATATATTTTCTTAAAAACTGCTCCAAATATTTCAGAGAAAATTTGCATAAGGTACAAAGTTAGACTTTTCAATAATATTTTTAAAGTCATATTTCAGTTGTGCAATTAAGGGGCCAGAAATGGCGAAAAGGTGAAAACAATTTATTTTAGGCGCTGGTAGGTACCAACTGGTGAGAGGGTTGGGAAAAACCGAAAGGCTAGCCAGACGAAAGAGATTAAATTAGATTTATTTAGTCAAAAAACGGTAAAAACTGTATGTGACCTATAGGGGAGAAGATAATCTGCGTACATTTTCTTGAGTTCCAGAATCCATTTCCATCATTTTAACTATAAATAGGTGAAAGATGAGTAAAAGTTAAAGGTAAATAAAAATAAAATAAAAAAAGCGTGAGATTAGTGATATTTGAAAACATTTTCATTTCAGAGTTATAGAAAACTATTTTGCAACGTATAACAAACAGCAGATTTTATTTTCTGCATTGCTAATAAAATAGTAACTCGTCCTTACCACTACTTCTACCACTACAAGCAAAGGGAGAGTTCAACAAAACTTGCACATAGTGATGCTAGATTTACATCCAGAAGCAAAACAAGGGGCCATCTCTGCATTTGCTCAATGAATCAGGGAAACTGGACTAAAACCTGATCGAGATGGCGGTCATTGACCCATATAGCTGAAGTACATTATTTGTTACAAGCATATTAAGCCTTTAAAAAAAATAATACAAAAGTAAACTATTTCATTATATATCACTGTTTTGTTAAAATAAACATTACTTTTCTTTGTGATGATTAATATAGTCTCTCATTGTATAGAAACAGTTATGCAGTAGAAAAGATTTTACTTTTAACTTAAATTTGTGAACTGACTTCAGTTGTTTAATGTCATCTGGCAATGCATTGTAAAGTAATGTACATGTATTATGTGGAGTTCTGGTAGTGAGTGGTTGATACTGACACTTGATGACTGTGATCTCTACGACATGTGTTGTAATCATAAATATCAGTATTGCATGAAAATATGTTCCCACTGTTAAGTAAGTCAGTTTTAACGAATATTACAGATTCGACTATAAATAGGCAAGGTAATGGTAAGATTCGAAACTCAATGAAGAGAGGCTTGCAAGGATCACACGGATTGCAATTTTTATTATTTGAATAATTTTATTTTGCAATGTAAAGGTTTGGGTACTACATGATGAGCTACCCCAGAATATTATGCCATATCTAAGGCGTGAATGCGCATTTGCAAAATACACGCAATGAGGTGCATTAGGAAGCTAATACAAAAAGGCCTGCATCGTGTAGCACTACTCATTTCTTAATGAAATCTATGTAAGAATAAAATTATAGATTTATAAACATAAGCACACAAACAATTTTCGTTGTATAATAGGAGATTGTGATGTGTAAAATGAGTTTTAAATTATGATGAACAAAATGCTTTAAGTGAAACCTACGAAATCGATTTGGCCGTTGCCGAGATAGGTCTGGACGGTCCAGACGGACAGACAAAATTGCTAAAACAATTGAATGGGTTTTTATATCATATACTATACTCGCAAGTTTTCTTGATACTCCATAGCGGGGGGTGCGGGGAGAGGAGGGCTCTGGCTTCGACACCTCTTAAAAGGGCGTACCAACTGTAAGCATGAACTAACTCACCAAAGTGTGTCACGAGAAATGCTACGATTGTTTTGAAAGTACGAGATGGTTGTTGCCAGCATTGTAAATTGGTACGTGCCATTCCGAGTCAAACCCAAGTATCTCAACGTGCCGTGCTATTCAGCGCAGGGCGAGGACTATGGAGCTCGTGTATCAAGAATACTTGCGAGAGTAATAATAGTGGCTGTTTCTTATGGCAGGGAAGGGAGGAACGTCCTCCAGACTTATTCATCAGAATGTAATTACCAAATACAACATATTATTTGATGTTTGAGGAAAAATGTACCATTTTTGAGTTTATAACTACGAGGAAATTTGTTTTGATCGAGGTTTTAACATACGCGCACTTTGAAGCAACGCGAAAACGATCGCAACAATCGAGGTCACTCACAACTCGTAGTGTTCCTGCGGCGAGAAAAGGAAACGTTTTTTTACAGAACTATGACAGAAAAGGAGAATCTCCTCCCTTGAACTGACATCTTTTGCCTTCTTTTTTAGCAGAAGAACGCGTCATGGGCGGCGTCCACGCAAGTCTGGCAGGCAAGGATCTGACGTAGGCCGAGCAAGAGACCCGTGCGATCTTACAATTTGGACTGAGGGAAACGAGAAAACCGAACTGAGAGATAATTCTCTTTCACATCGCAACTCACCACACACAATTTAATAATTTGTAGTATGTTGAATTTGATGTATTTCATGCAGTTGGCGTCTAATCAAAAGAGCTGATACAAATGTAAAGTGATATTACGAAAGGAGCGAGGAACGAGTGAATATCGTTAACTTTATACGAGCGTATTAATATCCATTGCTTCGATTTGCATACAGTAATTTTTCTACTACTAATACCACCCTGAGGACAGTCAATGTAGCATTGGTTAAGCTTAAGCGCAGGCCGACGAGCACTACATGGATCATGTAAGTACACAATTTATTAAATAAATGTCAGCAAAGTTTAGTGTCCATTCTTATTTCATATCAGCTTAATAACCGATAAAGTTCTCTTAGGGATATTCTCTCTTCCGATTTACTTCAGTTTCGGAAACGGGGAGGACGTGCCAATACCTCCCCAAGGGTTTGGGACTACTCATAATCCAACGAACATTTAATAGATCGTTGACCAGTGATTAATTCCTTCTATACTGTAAACTTCTCTGTGATTGTTCAAATACCTGTACTATTCTGAAGCTGTAACATTATGCAACGAGCTGCTGACATCTAATACGAGAAACAAAACGTTCCATATCAATACCACGAATTCATACTCGTATAACACTGCAAGTTGGGTTTCTCATGAGTTGTTTTTGTAACATTTAACGTAAAAGAAAGAGAGTTACGGAACCGTGACACCGACGAAATATCTTCAGCTCTTCAATGGCCTGAATCTCCAGCCTGAAGTCTTCACGGACGCGGATCACACGTTGAAAACTAGTGAAATCGGATCTAGCTAGCCTATCGTAAATCCAGTGAAAGGGTTTTTTAGAACAGAAGGAAAAAAATATGCCATTTTTTAAGCTTTTTTTTATTCTATTCTTACAAGAAATTTTAAGAAAAAAATTTGGAACCGTTTTTGAGAAAAAAAAATGAAAATGCCCCAGGGATTACATATAAAGAAGCTTCAAATTTTAAAGAATGTTTTCAAAATCTCAAAGCTTCGACTCGAGCCAGTTGGAATGAGGTTTCTTCAATTTGGAAAAAGTCCTACGGGGCTAATGGTGTTCACAGATGCACGGACGGACGGACAGACGTTTTGCTGTCATTGGTTTTTCGATATCAAAGCAGAGACAAAACAGACTCTGGCTACACCGCGTGTTAGAGGAGTTTTGTTCCTAATTTAGCATCTAGATTTATCCACTTTTTCGTTATCAGGGTCCGGCATTGAATTTTTTTTCTACCGAAAATCCGCCGTTTATTCACGAGTCGTTACATAACTTTCCCTATACTAACTATATTAGTCCGTACGTAGTATATGTATGTGTATATATATGTAGTATATGTACGGGAATGTAAAAATTAAGAAAGTAATCCAAGGCAAGATTAATTGAAACATGTTAAGATTGCGTTAACATATTTAGAATGTGTGGGCAATGTAGAATAAAGTGTAAATATTTTGAAGTTTTGAATTCGCGGCCATTGGATATGTTCTTGTACCTCTGAAATAATAAGCTTCATTGTAGTTGGAAAAAAAGAAAAAAAACACCATCAAAAAAGCTGCCGTATATTTTGGGATTATCGGGTATAATGAATCTCTGATACAGTGAACCAATAATATCAATTTACAGAGGTTCACAATTACCAGAGTGTACAATATTTTGAATTAGCAGACAGTACTGTTCTAATATTGATATTTGATTCCAATTCCTTTAAGGAGCGGTTAGGGCAGAGTTTTTTTTTTGGCTGATGAAGATAGAAGTTTTGAATAT